AAGATTTGGTAGATTTACAGCAAATTTGAATAAATCATATGTATACATGTATGTCTAAATTGCCTATCTTAATAAAAAAGTAATTATAGCATTTAGGCAGCTGAAATTAGTCTTATATAGTGCCGAAATTAATTTTCATATATTGCTGAAATTTTTTGAACACTTTTCATCAAATACATCATATAGTATAGTTATTTTGGAAGGTTTCATATAAAAAGTTTAGCAATGCCGAAAATACTTTTTTTCAAAAATAATTTAGGCACACATGTATAGTTATATGAAAGTAATTGTCAGATGTTTCATTATTTTTTTTTAGAGAAAGCTTATTTATTAAATATTTGGTTAATTCTTTTTTTATTAATTTGTTATATTAAATTTAGAGAACGCATACACATGCAGTATTGAATTCGAAGAAAACTACTTCTGTTTTATAAAGATTTACCTTTGTTCTAACGATCTATTATCATCTACAATCCTTGATATAACCTTTATCGAATCATCATCATCTTTTTTAAGCCTTTGCTTATTATTGTATACTACTATCTCCGCAGATTATAAGAGCTAAATACATTTAAGAGAGAACCAGGTTACACGATCATAAGAGACTTAATTTAGTTGCAATGTCACAAAAACGTACACGTGATTTCGTAGACATGAATGTCTGTAAACTCTCATAGTAGGTTAAACTGGATTCGCCTCCTACAACAGACATATCAATTAAATAACAATATAGTCAATTGCAGTAATATTTTATTTTAAATATTAACTCTTTATTAGGCCATTTTCTATATACCTATAATAAAACCCGAAGGACTACTCTTTACACAAAATTCCTTTGTTTATATAGATATATTTCGATACAATTAACTATAGTGCAATAATAATATAATTAAAAATACTTTGAGATCAAGAACGATAAAACTAACCAGAAGATATAGTAAGAAATTTTAAATATATAAAAATTTTAGTAGAATTTAATTAGTCTATTAATCAGTCCGTCCGGTCTAACTTTTTAAAAGACCACCAGGTCTTTGGACCAAGACGGACTGGACGGACTGATTAACAGCTCTAGTTATCACTTACATCGGTACTAATTACCGTCTCTTCATGATCCGACACATAAAGGTCAGTTCCATTCAAGTTTTTATTGTAATCAACAGGTGTACGATTTCTGAGTGTCCTTTTAGAAGTCTCCCCATACTAAGAGACAAAAAAAAAAATTATCCAAAACTAAATAGGTTATTTAACTAATATTCCACCCACACAACTTTGCCTATTCCAAGATGCAAAAATAACAAATCGCGTGATAAATACTTGATTTCCTATCGTGTCTATTACTTCAACAGATACAACTTCACGTATTTTTTGCGTTTCATCAATGGTTTTACTCAACACGGATTTTGCATAATTTAACTATAGACACTGTTAATCCAGTTTTCATTAAAATAAATAGATATAGACAATAATTTATCTATCTTTGTAAGTTGGATTTCATCTGATAGCCAGAAAGCTTCGATAGCTGGGGATGATCTCTCGAACTATATAAAGGAATATATTAATACAATTCGTTGACTCAAAGCTTCTTAAAGTATCATAATAACCCGAGATGTATGCTATGAAGCGAGGCGTAGTCTAACAACCAGAAAGACGTAGTTCCCAGTTGCATCATAGCAATAGAGGCGTAGTCTATTTCCTGAGGAAAGACGTAGTTCACTATCACTAAATGTCCCACCGGTGGGACATTTTCCCTTGGCAGCACTCATATGGATATATAATACATAACCATGAAGTTATCAAGGCAATTTCGGGCTTGAACACGATTCTCTTCTGATTTGTTATCCAAAATAATACTCTCAAGCACTTTCTTATAGATTCTATGTTCTGTAAGTCTATCTTTTGTGAAAACATTCATGCCTCTTCTGTATCTTAAAAAAGCAATCAGTGACCAGGTTTTGTTTTCTTCAAAGAATGTTTGTGAATTATTGGACTGCATTTATTTCACTTTTTTTTCGGTTACGTAATATTTGAGATTACAAATTTCCATAATATTTGGGGTTATCGCCTTAAATCTACAATCACGTGATTTTGTTTATTGTATGGACTTACCAGAAAAAATGTTTGGAGATATTGTTGTAGAAAAAATTCGGAAATTGAAAGAATTAAAAAAAAAACAGGTGTTTCTTTAAACTACTGGGGGATTTCAAAATTAGTGATTTGGCGTCTGATTTCGGATGAAATGAGCGATGTATTTATTTTAAATAAATGACTAGCAAAGTATATTTTATTTTTAAGTGTGTGCTTTCAAATTATACAAAATTAGCAAAATTTTTAGTTTTTAAACTAGATTTTTTCTTCTATATAATCGCAAAATTTAATTTTAAGTTTAGTTAAGTTAAAAAGAATCTTTAGTTCAAAGTTTATAGTAAATTCATATGTTTTTATTATAATTTTTATTATAGACAATATTTTAAACTTTTATAAGAAAAAATGTTCTATGCCTAGTATAATAATACAATTTTATTTATTTATTTATTTATAAAATTCTTAAAGCAATAAAATTTTTATTTTATTAAAAAATATTTTACACAAAGTTTTAAAAACTAAATTTTTTTTAAAAAAAAGATAAATCTAAGATATATAATTTTCAAAAAATTTTTTTAAGCAAATGCATCTTCACGGTCAGCTTCAACATCTTCTTCCATAGAAGAGAAATTGAGGAAATGTTGTGGTCTATGCAATTCATGATAAAACTCCTTAGGAACATCCAATTTTAAAGTATATTTCATACTTGTACTATGGCTAGGACCCATGAATGAATAATTCCAAATATCATTTTCTGGAACCATAAAAAATCCCATAAATCGATCCGAGAGTAACATTTGAACTTTTTCAGCGAATGTTGGAAGATAACCTGGTGGATTCATTGATGTGTCTTTGTTATTACGAGCCCATTCAAATCCAGCCGGTGTTAATTTATAAGCTGTGAGAGAGCATGATCCAGGTGTAAAACTAACAGTCATTGTTATTGTTTTATCGCCATCCCAATTCTTATTATCTGCCACTATTCTAGCGTGCAAAGATAAAATAGTTGGAGAAAGCTGAGCGGTTTCGAATGGCTGTGTTACAATAAGCCCAAGTGGTTCGAGGTCTCTAATTTGTTCGTGATCAGGGAGCATATTCGGTAAATTGACTGTCTGATGAGTACCATATTGTGGAACAATAACCAATGCCCTAATTTCTTTAACTTGAGCGTTATCGCGTGGTGAAGTACCATATAAATATGCTGAAATTTGTGTGCGAAGATCGGAGATTTGAATGAATCGTTTGAGTACATTCTTTGGAAGGACATAGGTGTAACCAGTATCTCTTATATCTTCAGCATTAACATAGATATGATTAGTACGAAGATGTAAATTTGTTGATGAAATGGCTCGCACACGCCATTCAGTCTTTGAAGAAAATGTTTGCGTCTCATAATTGCTTGTAGTAACAACTAACATTTCGTCACCATGTACATTTTGTGTCTTGGTTGTAACAGCAGTAAGTTGGCTTTGTTCTTTAGTTTGTTTTTCAATTTCTGCAATTTGTTGTCGTTGAAGAGATGGCGCAGATATTTCCATACCAAGGATAATATCTCGAATTTCAGATTGAGTAAGAGAAGCAACATTAACATTGTTCTTTTTTCCGTAATCTGCTAAAATTAAATCTTTAAGAGCAACTTCAACTTTGATCCATTCTTCATCACTTAACGTTGGCCAAATATGATGAGGTTCTGTGATGGTATTTTTGTCGGGACGTAAGATTAATTTTGTTTTTTCAGTGTTTACATGTAACGCTCTTAAGATAAGTATAAGACGAGAAAACGCGGTATATGAAGAAATCGTCTTAAGCCAATCATCAAACAGATTAAACAAGGTCATTTGAGGTTCTGTAGCACGTAAGATCAAATCTCCGAATTTTTCAAGTTTAAGACAAGCTTGGAACGGTAATTGTAACTCACTCCCTTTAATAACGATGTTTGGGAAATCAAGTAAATGAACTTCAAGAGGATCCAACATTCCTTTTCTAGTTACGATAATTTGTTTAGGTTGTTCTTCAATCGGCAATGACCGAATTAAGGCAGCCACTTCTTCTGCGGTTTTCCATTTCGCTAATTGACCCAAACGTTTTTGCCCAGCCCATACTGAAGTGTGAATGATTTTCAAAAATAGTTGACCAGTTCTTGGATTAAAAATGAAAATAGCACCATTTATCGGTTTAGTTGTCAAGTTTCCTTCGAATGTCTTATGAATTGTCACACGATATACGTTTGTATCATCAACGAACCAAATTATTTGATTCGAAAACAATTCTGAATAATTTTGAGAAGATAAGTACGGTTCAGTAGGTTCTGAACTGTATAATTGTAAACCTTTTCGGATACGTTCTCGTAAAACATATAAAGCTGGATTAGCCTTCATGATTTTAGCCATCGCAGATTGTATCAATGGTTTCATTCCTGGAATCCAATGACCGTAAGCACTATGTAGATTATAGGCTAAATCGATACCAATCATAATACCAAATGGTGATGGATATATGCTCATATTATCGGTAGAATAATCCAAGAATTTGGCCCTCGTGTACCTTTCAATATCATGAGAATCAAAATCACCCCATCTTAATTGACAATCCACAAACCATCTTGATGTAGTAGTTCCATCCATAACATCCTTGTTGTCATTTAGTAGTGAAGGTTTAGAAATATTCCATTTATAGGAAGCGAATAGTAATATATCAGCACATGATGAATTCATTTTGTATGATTTTCTAGGATGAATGGATTCTTTTTGTACTGTCTCAATCTGCAAACTCTCAAGTTCCGAATCAAATACTTGGCAAAGATCCATAATAACACTCTCGTGCACCTTTTGCCATAAATGGGCTCTGAAAATTTGAATCAATGAAATCTTTAAGGTTGGAATCTTTCCGTGCATAAAAATACCTGTAAGATCGAGTTGGACTTGAAAACCAACGTATACATTTGCTCGATTAATTGTTGGTGACCACCATAATGTAAATCGACGATTGGGGATTTGGTTTAAACCAGAACGCTGAGCATTAGTCAATTTTTTATATCTCATACTCTCCTCGAAACCTGATGCTTTTTCCCAAAACAGACCTTCCCATGTAACAAAATAAGTTCCTTTAAAAAGTGTATGTTCTAAGATCCCTTCGACACCTCCTAAAGCCTGAATCATATCGGATCTATAATTATTGAGACACCACAGTTTTCCATCATGTCTAGAATGCGTCCACCAGAAAGGATTGTTCTTTAATACTTGATATTGCTTGAAATCAGTCCTAACACGCCATCCTTTATCATAAGCTAAAGTATGTCTATCTTTAGAAAACAATGTATTTATTCTTGGTAAACCACGATCCCAAGAATCTTCAAGATCTTCAAGTGTCAACCTCCTATTTTGAGCATTAGCTTCTTGACGTTTAAGCGCATATTCAGCCCATACGCGTTGAGAGTCAATAAATTCTGACTCCCAAGGTTGAAGGTATCTAAACAAATTCGGTATTAGTTGATCTTCTTCGTGACTCATTCCTGATCTGAAATGAGTAATTCCAGTCTCTGTTTGCTGACTCCACCGGAGATCACTTTGTGGTATGAGAACGTGTCCCATAGATAACATTCCTAGTCCACCCAATTCTTTCGGACAATAAAACACGACTGGTGGAAATCTCGAAGGCATTTTCGAGTTAAGTCCGATCTTAATTCTAGTTTGTATTTTATTTTCTGCTTTCACGATTATATCCAATAATTCACGCGTATGAACAACAGCTTCTCTAAAATAGGACATCAATCCGATAAGGCAAGTATTCCATTTATTTGAGATCTTACTGAATGTGGTAGATCCACTAGCCATTAATATTTGACGAACACGATTATGGAATTTTTGCATTGATTCTTCGTCAACACGAAGGAAAGCCTGTGCCGTTCTTTCTTTTGTTTGTTCATTTATTAAGTTCCAAACTCCATCTTTGAGAGTAAATTCCTCGTTGAGATTTCGAATCTTTGGAAGAATTCTAACTTCAAATCCACACATTGAGAATAAAACATTTGGATTATCTTTAGAATAAACACTACAAAAAGTATCATCCCATTCTATTGTTGTAAGTGAACGAGGTAATCTATTCTTTATGTCCCAGAATACAGCCCTTCCGGCATTAACATCACTCTTAAATAATCGCATACGACAATCTCGCGGCCAGCATTTCTTATTATTATAACCAACAATGTTTTCAGAATTTGG